AAAACCAGAATGGCCGTACCTATGCCCGTATTATATGCGGGGCGTGTGCGCCGTGTAACACCGCCGTCGCCGATTTCGTATTTGAACGGCGTACGATAATACATGCGATTTAAACACAATTTTTTTTAGGTGTTTGCGTATTATTATGATACTGAGATGTGTGTTTGTGTGTGAGTGTGTTTAGTGTATAATATTATTGCTGGTACGTGGTAGCACGCGGTAATATATTCGCACACGATATATTATATTCGTGTTTATATGACCTGCTGCCACTTCTATTCTTTTTTATTCGTCGTCGCGTTAATATAATATTTTATCGTATTATATTTTATGTGTTTATAATAATATAATATTCGCAAAATTCATGCGCGAAAACACGCGTCACCGTCCCCACGCTCCACTCTTCCCCACTCACTAAAACCGCCCAAACGCTGCCGTGTAGGTACCTACAACACCTATGTTTTAAATATATCTCCACCGCCAAGTGTCTTGAGTAAAAACATAATGTGGTGTAGCTACGTCATAATTGTGTACGAAATAATATAGGTATACCTACATAATACATGTGCCCACAACTTGATATTGGTGTTGGAATATGTTAATAATTATTGTTTCAAAATATTATTCTTAAGTAGATATCTACTTTTTTTGAGAGAGAGAATTTATTAAAAACATTTGCGTTGCGAGCAACACCTATACTACCGCGTAGAAAACTTATAATATTAAACCATGTTTAGGCACAGCTCTATCATAAGACAATAAATCATATAATTACTATAGTTAAGATTAATTTTGTTTAGGTCCTTTTTAGCGAAAAGTATTTTCGATTTTGTGGACGTCCAATATAACAAATCTGTATTCGATTTTTTCTGTTTATACTTTATTACCAAAATTGAAGGTAATTTGTAAAAAAAAAATTGACGTTACCTATACGTACTAGTGTACTACTGGCCTCTCCCTCTAATTACCTCATGTCTCCTCCATTCGTCGAAATTCACGTTTAGCAAGTGACGTCACTGGTATGTACCAAACCAAACGTTCTAAATATATTTTAAATTATAGAACACGGGAAAACATGAATTTACAAAGTACGCAGGAGATAACTATACTCATCGGAACAATATTGTTAGTACTAATAATTAAAAAAAATACTAATAGATTGCACCTATCCGTCTAATGGTACAAGTCCCAAGTTAAGTACCTATTTTGAAACTTTTAGTAATTTGTGTAATAGAAGTATACATCTAAAAGTATTTAAAAAATGTTTGTATGTTTGTATATTATTTAACAATTTACAGTAGTATATAATTTAAATCGATCAATATATCACATATTATAATCTTTAGTCGATTTAGTAACCTGCGAGTACCTATAGATATAGAGAGGCACAATAAACTAAGATATGTATATGTAAATGCACGCGTGTGGTGTGTTAAGTAAGTTAATATTGTGGATATCTATATGCAGAGTACCAAAGCTTAACATAATATGTCGAACTTCATACAGCACAATAAAAAAGTAAAACTATTCGTGCTTCTTGAGCTGTAATTAAATTCGTTGAAATTACAATTTTACATGGACCACTAGGTACTATGTCCTTAAACACAAATTTGTTTGCAGACGAATACTACTTTATTGTATTCGTTAAACACTCATCTGCAGCCATCTGTAGACCTCCTAAAGATGTACGATGTACATAATTGCAAATCAGGACACGCGCTACGTTTCCGTACACAGCTGTTTTACAAAAAGCAGTCATTTTTAATATTTGTTATGTATAGTATCGCTATACAGGTAAGTAGTGGGTGCAATAATTTATATACGTACACGCGCGTATTATACCAACTTGTCACGAAATATTGTAAAATTAAATAAATACCTTAGGTACCTATTGTATATAATAAAGAATAAATAAAAAAACTCTTGTACGATCGATTTATCGATCCAAAACAATATAATAGGTATTATCCAAAACGTAATATTGTTGAAAATGCATTTATTCTATTCGCACGTGTGTAACATGACATGCGCGTGCGATGTCACAATTTATTAATCTATACGCGATGCAGAATGGGCGCCTTTTCGCGACGCTGGTGCAGCAGTGCAGCGTGATAGTGTTTCAGAATTTTTAGTTGCATTCGTCCTACAGCACGACTATATGCATATAATAATGGCTTCTATTATTACGGTCAAGCATAGATTAAGGGGGGAGCCGGGGGACATTGCCCCGGGGGCTACAAGGTCGAGGGGCCCACTCAAAGCAATAATGTCTAAATATTTATTTTTAGTTTTAATTCACTAGGTTAGTGTTATATACTTTTATTAAACTTCTTGTATATACGAGTAGACAGCAAAGTATGCAATTTGAAAATTGGAAGTCTGGAACTTATAACAAATAGCGATTTTTATTTGTTTATTACAACATACACATTTTACAATTTTACATATTATATTTATATATAAATTCGTTTTTAAATACTTTCAAAGTTTCAACGCCTATTCCCTGTTCAATTACACTATTCGAACAAATAATTCAATTTGTTATTTATTTAAAAGTCCACGGATAGGTACTAAATGTAGCTTAGGCTTATTATACAAATACCTACATTTTGCGATTTTATACATATTTTATGACATTTATTTTACAACAATGAATTTTGGCAAAATGTCAAGTACATAATTTTATATAGCCATATAGACTACGGAGACGCTAGGTTAAATTTGATTTTAATAGTTTTGACGGTGAATACGGTTGTTATAATTTATATTTGCAGATACCCACTCAAATATGCAGATAAACAGCGGATTATAGTGTCCAGCGCCACACAGCCACAGTCCGTAAGTATATTTATTATATTTTCGACAGTGTTTAATCGACATTATCTTACCTATTATAAGGTGCTTATACTTATACTTATACTTTATTTACTTACCTTAATGATTATAATTTTTTTATTTTACAGTCCGTGGATGTTCGGCTAGCTGTTCTTCAAAGTATAATTAATGCTGTCTTAATCCGGACTTATTATACGTTCACGTAGGTATAACTATACTTTTATATAATAATTAGTTTGCACATTAAAGTTGGTCACTCAAAAAGAGCTCATTTCGTATGCAGTGCACGCGCATCTATAAACTCGATGTGACGTGTACTGAAAATTTCCGAAATCTCAATTGACAGAAATAAACCAGGATTTTTTTCTATTTCTTTCCGCTTTCTCATATCACTGTATTCGCTGTACCTGCTAATAAGTACTAACCTGCCAAAGAGCTAACATGCGTACATAATAATGTTTATAATTATTGCATTTTATATTCTTGGAATAATATCGAGTCAACGTGATATTGTAACATCTGAATTAATTTATATTGTGTTCCTAAATTTTTTACCGTAGAAGGTACATTTTTTCACAAAGTTGCATAGGAACAAGGAAATAAATGTAAAATTATTTTTTTAATAATATTTCTTTTAACAGTGGACATCTTAATTTTAGTCATAATATGGTAATTTATTATTTACATGTTATGATCTAATATCCTAAATAAATTTCAACACCTCCTTGAAAGTATGATGGTCTTGCGGCTAGACTCGATAGTCTAAAACAATCTTAAAATAAATTTCAAATGTTCAATTTCAAACAATTGTATGCAAGATGACAAGCTGTGTGATGTAGATACACAATTTCTATAAGGGAGTAAGGGACTATTATATTTTGGGTATTTCTTCAACAATTTTTATCCTTTTTAATTCTCATCATCAATTGACAACCAAATTATGACGTTTCGACTTGCAGCTCGTGTAACATTTCAAAAATTAGTATATGGCTCAAATAAAAAAAAGGTGAAGTATAGCTAGTGCTCCAGCCAGTACCATCACATATATGTGGTCTCTTTACTTATATGATAGGGCCAACATTATTATATATTAGTAATAGTGGTCATAAGTTCGAACCAATTTCAGCTACCTAATATATTTTATATTAAATAGTATATCTATACATGACAACATATATAGGGTTTACTCGGAACTCAGAATGACTGGAGCAGGAGAGTTGATTAATTTTGCATTCAATTATATTGTTTTTATACAATTTTAGGCGAGTACCTACACGAGTGAGCCAAAACCCTACCTAATAAATAAAAATATTGACTTTGTCATATAAGACGTATATCTTATATTAACCCGAACTAAAATATAATTTTAAATCCATAGATTTATATTTGTATTGAGAACAAAAAAGCGATCCAATTGGGTTCGTAAATATTTGATGGATTAAACTAATATTTGTTGATACTTAATAAATTAGTTTTCACACTACACTCTATTGTCTATATTGCAGTAAAGTCAGAGTGATCATTATTATCTGTATGTTATAGGTAAATGGCTTAGAAAAAAAATTTAACTTTATTTAATAAAAATAAAAATAATCTATAACATATTATTCATACATTATTTTAACTATTTAATATATAATACATTTTATAATAGTCAGATTTATTGACGGGGGGATTAACTGTTTCGTGTTCTTTATAAAACACTAAATTTAAAATTTGTTTTATTATCACGTTAAAAAAATATATTATAACATAGAATAGGTAACTTCCCCCCTAAATAACTGTTTACATCATACTTGACTAATTGATATAGGTGTACAATAATTATAGACTCTCTGATTTATTTAACTTATAATTACATTGTATCTGAATTTTAAATTTTAAATAATCATGTTATTAAGTAATTCGATTTACACATAAATACATTGTTAAACTCGGTATTATTAAAAATATGAGTTCTTCGAAGTTCCAGCAATGCCTGATAAATAAAAAATAGTTATAAAAATGAATATAATTGTTGTTGTTATTGAAAATAATTTATAATAAATTTAGCATTTGAAATTTTTCATGTTCATTAGGTCAGGTCACAAATAATACTTGCCCAAGGACGCGAAATAGTAGAGGGGCAATGGACGTCGCGATATGGACCAGGAACCGGTGAGCTTGATCAGTTAATCTTTTAGCTATAGACTATAGCTAAAGTTAGTGATGATAAATAGTTACAGTGTACCACAGAAAGAACTACGTCTGTCTTCTGGAATATATACATGAGTGTTTACATTATTTTGTACAGTTTATAAATTAACCATAAATATTTTATTAATATATTTTGTGTTCTTAGAAATTTGTGCAGTTTAAATGTGCATCATAATATTATAATATTAAATTCGTTATTCGAGCGGTGCTTGATAAATAGTTGTACAATATCAGTTGTACAAATACCTATATACTATTTTGACAACAGTGTAACAAAAGCATTCATGTAAGTAAAATTTGATCTGAAATTACACACAATATTCTGTATTCTAGACCTATACACGAAATCAAGAACTTTAAAATATTCAAAAATAAATACATTGAATATCTCGATATTAATATCAGCTAATGAAAACAGATTAATATGTCGGTAGAAGCATTGATTATAAATTATATTACATTGCAAGTATATTATTCATAATGAATGGTAGAAGTGTATAGAACATTGTCAATACAATTCAATTTGGTAATTTTTTTTTTTAGAATTCATAAAATGTCTTTGGATTTTAATGATTTTATGATATATGTATAGGTAACTTACCATATTTACCTAGGTAATGGAAAATATTACGCTACACATACTTATATATATATATTTAATATTGAAATAAATATATTGCCTCAACAATTTTAAAGTATATCGAAAATTTGATAAGCCCATGTATATACAGTCCTAAAATACAATAACTGTTCACAGTTAATATAGTCCTACCCTTGGGGTCATTAATTTCTGAATTACTGTAAAATTAATTTTAAAGTTTCATACTTCATTATATTTAAAAAAACAATTTTGAACGATTAGTTAATAAGTTATAAATATTTAAATACTACATTAATGTAGGATTGGCATAAGGGCAAATCAATCCCGATTCCCGGTAAAATTTTAGTCCACTGCTCCAATCATCAAAACTTTAAATAATTATAACTCACTAACTATACCGTAAAAAACTCGATCTTTATAATCAGTGATCGACATTGTATTCAGAAAAATATTCTGCTTTTAGTAACATGAAATAAAAAAGTGTATTTATTCTTCATTCAAAAAAATAGTAAAAATATGAAAAAAAAAACGATTTTTTGAATGTTGTTTTTGAAATGCTTTAATATCATGTTAAAAATAATATTTTCAAAAACGTTTAAACCTTACAAAATAATGTGTATTTACTATAATTTAAAGAATCTCGATCCATGTCTGTAGATACAAGGTTTTGGAAATTTTGTTCACAATTATAAACATTTTATTTTAACCAAGATCTTCATCAAATTGTCATCCGATGAAGAAATTAATGACTAAAATGAACAAATTCGAAGCTTTAATAATTAGTCTGTTAAAATTTTCTTTAAATTCAAAAAATTGCAGATGTGTACTCGATCATTGTTTAATAGTCAATAAGTACAATGAAAACAATTAGTAGATTTCTAAAATAAGAACCACTTAAGCTAAACATTATAATGAAGTAATTAATTTACTACTTTAAATCTTCATAGGTTAGGTAATCTATGTATAAAGTCAACATTAAGAAAAAATGAAGAAATCATATTTAACTCTGTGGTTAACTTTCGGTACTTTAAATAAGTGTGCAATAGTATTCATTTAAAAGTTTGATTAAAGATGATAAAATATAAACATTAGACAATTTCATTAAAATTTGAAATCTATATTATAGGTACCTATAGATTGGAATAGTAAAATGATATATTTACAATTATACCTACACACCTACTAATTCTTGCTAAAATTTTCCACCATACCTTGTATGATGTATAGATATTTCCAATCTATTTTAATCCCAAATGTACTTATATATCATGTTATTATCGTACAACCATTATTTTTTAGTTGGCTTGTTTTTTTTCTTGACACTTTTCATTTATGGCAATTAACTAAAAAACCTGATTAATTTTGTATACAAACGTTTGTTTAAGACTATACGAGAACGTTTATATCATAGTATGTATTATCTGTTCCTCCTTTAAATTTGGATAATTAATTTATATTATTTTATCATAATTTGAGTACCGTTGAATAGATACATGTGTTCAAAACCTTTGTTCTTCATCATAATTTGTATGAAAATGTCATAAGCACATGTCACATATTATATTATATTATTATTAAATTGTAGTCAATGCTCATCGCATTCTCGAGTTCCGAGTTGTAGGTAAGTACCTACCCACCAACATTTTTAGAGCACTTTTTTATTTACCCATAGTGTTTAGATAAGTATTTTTTCTTCAGATGACAGATGATGTCACACAAAGAATAAATTTCGCTTAAAAAACATAAAATATTAGTCAAACACTGATGAACATATTCTCCAACAAACGTAATCGGGAAAATATCAAAGTATATTATACTTAATAGTATAAAAAGGACCTAAATTTTCCAAAAAAAAAAAACATTGAAAAAAGTTAATAGGTACTTTTATGAAATAATGAGAATTAGGAAAAGTTAAACATAGATAAGTTCAATATAACGATTTAATAATTGGGTTTCAAGTGCAAAATTATTTAACATAGACCCCACACCCCCAGACATAGCTTATTTTTTTAACTAATACATTTCTACTGCATAGGCCATGGTATTTATTAAAAATTCAAAAATGTAAACTATATTAGTGAACCTTAGATTGTTGTTTGCCTAAATTCATCAAATAAATATCATTCAATAAGTTGTCATTTAGAAAAGGAAAAATTCAAAAATAATAATCAGTACAATAACTATAAAACTCAGTCATAACATATGCAATGTAATACGATTGAATTTGTATTGCTTTTGGTGAGGGACGGGGATGGGTGGACAAATACGCTCTTATATAGAAACGGCAGAAGGCAGAAGCCGAATAAAAGTCTGTATATAGCCGTGTTATTTTATAAACAAACTTGCCTAAACTAAAAATCAAAAATATTAAAAACTAAAATTCATTACATTTTTCCAATTAGTTTTTTGGCAGTAGAAATGCAGTATCCTGTTCCTGTATAGACAATAATATGAATACCTATACTATACAATATAGGAATATAATTACTAACCCATTATTTATATTATGGCCATATTTTGTATGATATTATAATTTATGTCTATGACATTGAACATTTTATTGATATATTTAAATATACATTTACTATAACTAATTTCAACAATATACATATATCATTATTATTATTTTTCGTTACATTCAAATTTCCAATTTAAAAATATTCAACGTACTGAACCTTTCGACAGCCCTGTTATATTTATACCAACATTTTCCATTATTGTGAAATGTACTCAATATTGATATAATTAATTAATGAATGGTCTGAGTCCCTATAAATCGGTGTTTATTAAAACATGATTTTACAAACTTATAGCATTAAGTACATTTTGCCATTTTGGATTATTAAGGCAAAATATAATATGTATAAAAACAATTTTAACTGACAAAAATAATACATAATACAATTTATTTTACGTATATTTTTTTAAACACAACTGAACAACTCACATATAATATCATTACAACTTTAAAAGTTAAATGACATACCTATCCGAAGGTCCCACATGAGAAGATGAAATAAATTAATATTAATATAGATTATATATGTGTTTACCTATGTGTGTATGTACCTAATTTTTTTAACAGAACAGAAATAGCCTTTATATGATAATAACATAGGTATAAATTGTAAATGTATAACATTAATACTTAATTGGGAATAATACTACATTGTTATAAGAAAAACGAAATATGAGATCTTATTTATACTTTATCATTCTATAAAATCGAAATTTTTGAAATTATTAGAGGAAACTTAGAGGGATTTTATTATTTATTAATTACAAATACTTTGTAACTACATTCAATAAATTCAGTCAATCATCAAACGTATTACCTACTATTACAATTTACATTAGTATTATTATAATACTATGTTAGATACCTACTAATACTCTATACTTATAGATATCGTACAATTTCGATATGTATTATGTATAATTATATTTCAATAATTACTATTTATACGATTGAATGTTTGATATTTGTTACAACGACCAAATATTTTACCGAAATCAAATGTGTGTAATATGTTTTAAGGATGTGGGCGTTGAATGATGTGAACATTGCAAATACGTATGAATCGAATGAATTTTGTATGCCAGATGATTACACCCTATCGTCACAGGTAACGTTGAAATACATTTTATACATAGGTACCTGTATTTTATATTTTTTTCGAATTTTTAATTGTTATACGAAAACGAAAGAATAAACAACGAAAAGTAACATTACTTTTATCTGGCTTATATTTTGGTTTATTATTAGTCGCTTCAATATTACACTTTTGGCTGCGTGACCATCGATCAAAAACGAGTACAATAATTCTTTAAAATAATTTCATAATTAAGTATGACACGCGTGACAGTTCCGCCTTAAACATTGAGTTTTTCCACTGGTAAATTAATTTTCAAATACGTTTTTCTCTAGGTCTTCTTTACGATTTTGAATGCATATTAAATGGCATTTTTTGATACTTTTTAATGTATATGTTACAGCTAAAGTGTTGAATTCCGTTATTTTATGAAATAACTAGGTAGTTCATGAATTACCTACGAATGTTAGTTAAAGTATGAAATAATACATGAAAATTGTACTTTAACTAGTTATTTCATAGAATATTTGTTCCAATACAATTTCAGTTTGATATCCGTTAAAGTATAAAATACATTAAAATTTAAAATGTGTATTAAAATATTTTATTTTACTGAATTAATTATAGTTATATTATTTATTTATTTGTTCATGTAAAGCTATTATGGCATTTAGAGTTGCATATTACCTCTTTTTTCTACAATCACATTGATTTGTGCCACATTTTTTAGTACAAGTGCACTTAAAAAAACCCTAATCAGTTCCCAGTGACTGCGCAGTTGCCGCAGATCTTAATGTAATACTTTTATTTGGAACAGCTTCTACAGCTAACAAATTTTCTGAACATACTGTGAACTTGTGAACTAGGATCGAGAGTATAGTTGTAGTAACACTCCTGTAATTATCATGTGTAGGTAGGTATCAAATAAATAAAAAATAAAAGGATGTCAATCTTATCCGATTTAATATGTTATATTAAATTGTTGACAATTTTAGAACTATATTTGTTTATCATGATATTTTGTTACTTACAATTTGACACATTAACGAAGTGATGCCAGGGAGTGTATAAAATAACTAGTTATAGTATAAATTATATACATTACCTATATAAGCTTTAGTTATTTTATAAATTACCTAGTTATTTCATAAACTAACTGATTCAACACTTTAACTGTAACATATTAATAACGTATCTTTTAAACCTAAATTACGCTCAATGCACAGTAACAAATCGAAAATTTTAAAAAAATATCATTTTCTTAACAATTTACAGTAAAAAATTCATAAAAGTTCATATATCGTCACAGGATACTCACACTACATAGATGGTACCAATAGGAAAATCTCAAGAAATTGAAAATATGTTCCTAAAATATAATTAAAAATTCCGAAAATCTGAATTTGAATAAATCCATTGTGCATCGTATATTACTCATCTTTATAGTGGGACTACGACGGTGGCTACTCGACCAACTACAGCGAAAATGAAATTGATCTCGCCACCGTGTTGATGAACTTGAAGGAAGACTACCCCTCGCCGGACAGAAGTTGCAACGACCCCTACGAACCGTCGTACTATGATCCGACGACGACGAGCGGTGATCAGCAGCATTATCACCATCAGCTGTTGCAGTGGCATTGCCCGTCCGACGAACAGCCGCAGCACGTGCTCGTGTACGACTCACTGGACGGCGATCACGCCCGCCCCACCCCCGAGAACTGTCTACTACCCACCATATTGGGTAAGTGTCAACGACGGACAAAATACTAATGTGTATACTGTATATTATGTTCAACTAGCTGTGGTCTCTACGAGGGGGGAGAGGGGTTCGACTTTGGCTTCGAACATCGAGAGCGTCCAGAGATTCCCAAAACCTGATTAAACAGCTTTTTTGCTCTGAAATGTATTTATTTGAGTTCGGAAATGTTTGTGTGTGCCTCTTTTCTCACTCACCGAGAGTATAAGTACATTTGAACCAACTACAATGCCATGTGGATGAGTGGGTAGTATAAACGACGAGACGGGTGGATGAGTCTCAGTCAAAATCCAACCACCTACGTATGTAACTAGGCCACTAGGGTATATACTTGAAGCTGATCTCTGCGAATTATGTGTAATTTTTAGATCTAATCACGTACTAGCGTCTAACCCGTCGTGCCGCTGTAAATGTATTGTATATAGCTATAATATTATGTATTTAACATATCACTAAGGTACAAAATATGTAATATAAAAATATCTTTGTAAATAAAATTCAGTAATACAAAATATGATTATTGGAAGTTTTAAATATACTTAAAAGTTAAAAACCATATTTTCAAATTCTTTAAATTCGTTTCTATTAATTTATTGTGGATGATTTTAAAGTGATACAACGACTTCTGTTTTCCTAACAGGAACCAGCCCCCTCGTGTTCTATAAATTATTCACGGATAACTTAATTCGAATGAGTACCTAGTTTTTGTCATATATAATTTGGCGTACTGAAAACACAGAATAGGTTCGTGATAATGGGATTGGAAGATATGGCGGGGAATATTATATCTATTTTATATTTTTGTAAAATCATTTTCTATTAGCTATTGAATAAATATTTTAATAACTAAGTAGTTACTCGTTCGAACTTTGATTTAGATGCATAAACATTTTCAAAAAAATGCTCTACTAAATAATCCCGAATAAAAGGGGAAGGGGTTAGATCCTTTGAAAAACGGAAGCTTATTATCGGCTGCACTGCAGGACACTTCTTGAGTAATATTTAAAAAAAAAACCTAAAGAATTTTAAAACATGTTGAGACGGCCTTTGAGTGCCTATCTGGTCATCCATATTGAAAGATTAAAAAAATCAGAATTTGAATAAATTATCATTGTAATAAAAAAGAACGGTGGTGCTCGGCGATTCGCCCCGCGTACAATAAGTTGCGCCGACAACAATAAATTATATCGTATAATACCGGTGTCATAACGTGCAATTTTTCGCAGACGCAGACGACGAATTTTTCAAAACGGGCAACGCTTCTTCGATGGGGAAAAAGCGGGCGGGCCGGCCGCGCGGCACGAAGGTGAAACGGTCGAAAGCCGAGCCCAAACTGAGCAGGATATGGGAGTTCATCAGGGACCTGCTGCTGAACTCGCAATACTGTCCGACGTACATATGCTGGGAGAACTACGAGGAGGGCCGGTTCAGGTTCGTGCAGAGCGACAAGGTGGCGAAGCTGTGGGGCAAGTTCAAGCGCAACGAGAGGATGAACTACGAGAAGTTCAGCCGGGCCATGCGGTACTACTACAAGACCGGCGTCCTGTTGCCGGTGCAGGGCAAACGGCTCGTTTACAAGTTCGGGCCAAAGGCCACGGGTTGGCACACGGACAATCCTAATTTCAAAAAGTATACATTTTAGACGTCGCCGGACCGGTCAATCGTCGTACACGTTCATACCTCTCGCTATATATCATTATAGTTATTATTGCATCGTATAAGCCTCCATAGTTACACATCATATCATAATACACCTAAGAGTTCTATTGTTGTGTTATTACTTAAAAGGACATACGACGTCGGGCTTTTGTGTATCATTAGTGTAATGGCTTTATAGTCACACGGTATACTGCACCGTATCCATTGTGTGCGACGTAAGTGCCTACAGTGTAGGCTGACGAACATCACATTTCGCGCAACGACTTGTCGATTGTCACGGAAAGCGCAAAACACCTAGAACATTTAAATGAATATGATTATTTGCAGGCATTTATCTACTTAATAATGATATTTTATGATATATCGATTTTTTTTTTTTTAATTGTTTATACTTTACCATACCAAGTTATTGTTTAAATGTTATATTATATTATTTGTCCTATAATCTACACATAATTATACTCTATTTAAGAATAATACGTTTTTACAACGCTTAATTTAAATAATTTTAAGAATATCAGTGATTTTGTCTTAATTATTTGTGGTTGTAACTTTAATGATGTAAAAATGAACAAAGGCTGACACAATTTAAATTATAACAAATTATAAAATTATTAATTATACATAATATTCACAGTAAAATAAAACATTAATCAATTGTATTGGAATCATTATTTTCAATAGCTCATAATTTGACTTTCATATTCAAAATTCTTGTAGTGTTTCGATCTCATTTATATTAAATATTAATGTTTTAAATATATAATTTAAAATTATCAAAATATACATGTTTTTAAATTTTCTAAAATATTTATTAATTATTATTAATGATAAAAATATATTTATACAATATATATTTTATATTGAAATCATGCATATAAAATGAAAATAATATTTAACAATTTTTACAATCAAATAGGTTGGTATATAATTATGCATATACGCAATAGGTTTAGCAAAAGATATTGTTCACTTGCGCCTTAAATTATCTAATCTAGCTTGCAAGTCTGCATCAGCATCATTTGGTTGTGCAGCAGCTGCACCACCACCACTACTATTACCACCTCCACCATCTTGAGCCACAATTGGTACTTTTCCAGTGGCTGCTACACTTATTGAGCCAGAAGCTGAGGGTAATCCAGACAATTGATCTGTAAGCTGAAGACCTAACTCATCTAATACTTGTGTCACAATTTGATCTCTGAAATAAATATTTTAAATATTATGACAATAAGTTATTTTTTAATATTAAAGCAATGGTATTAACATATAGTTAAGGTTTTCAACATCTCTTTTGTGCATATTAATATATAATACAAACTTAAATATTCATTTAAAAATTGCCAAACAAGTATTCGTATTAAGTATTATAAAGAATGTTATGTAAACTATATTTTTATCTTTTATAATAATTAGGTAATAAGTATGTGGTTCCTTTATCACAAAATACTGATGTGTAATACTAAAATGCAGTGTTCGGAAGGTTCACTAAAAATGAATTCGTTCAAGTTCAATCTTTCAAAAGGGAACTCGTTCAGGTTCATGTTTTTTAAATGAACGTGTTCATGTTCATGTTCATTGAACAAATGAATGTGTTCACTATACTCTATAGGTTGTTAATTAAATTTTTTTAAATTTTTTTATAATAGGAATTATAATAAAAAATATTATTATATAATATAATTAATCAATTTAATATGTTAAACATATTTCTTAAATGCAAATAAATTGAGCTTCTAAAAAATTGTTTAAATTCATTACAACATAAACGTTGTTCACGTTCAATTAAAAAAAATTTAGTGACGTTGGCGTATTGTTCACTAAGTATGAAAGTGAACATGCGTTAATGTACTACGTTCTTTCCAAACACTGTTAAATTGAGTTAATAATAGTATTCTAAAATGTGTGTTAGAATGGCTCGATTATATTTATCAATTAGATACTATGATTTATGCACAGCGTTATATATTATGTAATATCTATTCGACTTTCCAATAAATTAATGTTCAGTTATGAAAATTGCTGTTTAAATAATGAAATTACTAAAAAAACTAGAAAATTATACAGATAAACATGATTTTTTCACACATGGTAGGTATTACGATTGACTTTCAAATATGATACCTACTTATGTGAGACTTTTAGCTATTTCAGTATTTAGCACATATTTGAATATTTCTCATTTAATACCGTACTTTATTCACTTAGGATGAATGGGTAAAAACTGTGCATCTATCCCCACTACTAAAACCGACATAGCTGCCTTTACTCACCTACCCATTGTTTGGCTGAAACGATCAGCGTACAATCATGGGGCCAACTTTGGCATTAGGGGGTTTAAGCTAACATATTTGCTCATTGGGTATACATGAAACTGGCTATTCTTAGACTGAATGGAGTATAATATATACATATCTTCAGACCTTATTTATAATTACAAAAAATAAATTAATCTTACGTTTCTTCTTCGTCCCCTTCGTCTTCCATCGCATCATCCATAGCATCATTCATTACTTCTTCCTTCATATCCATTACTTCAGACTGTTTTTCAAATTCTTGTAATATCCTTTGAATTTGTGGTAAATTCAGTTGCCTATTAAAATATAAAATAGTTCAATTAATTGTAGACTATCGCAGAATAATAAACATACATAAGTGGCAATTTACATTTGCTAGTTATTCTTGAGAAAAAATTACAAGAAAGTTTTGTTTAAGATGTATTAGTATTGTGAAAATACTATTTAGCAAGATTTGAACTTGTTACAAAAAATAATTATTGTTTTTTTCTGCTGTATGATTATCATTAGAAAGATAACAATTACATAAGATTTACCTGTTCATATTTTGCATTGCTTTAGTCACGCCTTTCATTGCTTGACCCATAGCGTTTTGTGATTTGAGTGTTTGTATTTTTAAAGATACTGCTTGTATGTTAGCCTTCATCACCATAAATTTCTTCTGGTAACGTCTTGTTCTTACTAAGTCTCTTGCCATGATTTTCACCGATTCCTAAATCCTCAAAATATTCATCTAAACTATTTAACAAACATCTAATAGATACTTAGATTTCTAAAATATACTTTTAAGGAAATAATAAATCAATTAGAGAAATTAAAATGTTTAGGATCTATATGATAATGTAGTATATTAGTTTGCCACACTTGACTCATAAGTTGGGATCATGTATTTAATATTAATAAAAGCATGAGCTCCTCCGTGTCTTTCAAGAATTTCTAAAGTATTATTCACTAAGTCCCCGACATCTTCTTGTTGATATTGAGCATAATCAATGCCATCGCCAGTATTTTTATTAAGATTCTTGTATACATTGAGAGGTGGTAAAATTTGCCTATAATAGGGTACTAGAGCTTCTCCTACCATATCAGCTGATGTTACTAAGGTTTGAACCATTTTCAATGTTGCTATAACTACATCTGGATGACCAGTGTTAAGTGCTAATTTTATTGGAATGATCAATTGCGGCACCACAGGCAGTATACGATCTGGTGTACCGTTTTTTAGCATATCTGTAGCTCCACGCTCTGCCACTGCACGGTATGGGTATGCAACTTCACGTAATCCGTCAAAAAAAATTGGTAAGTAATGGTGATAATCTATATTTTCAAATGATGTTTTCCACATAACTCGCCCACTATCGACAGACAACATAAAGTCACCTCTATCATAATAACGACGAAATGCAGTATTTCCAATTGGTGTTTGACATGAACGTGATCGAGGAGGACCAGCTACAATTGTGTTTGGTTGTCGTGATTGAGAACTAAAAGGTGGTACTATACGCTTTGTTCTTGATTTTATTGATTTCATTACTAAACACAAGTATTACTAATAAAGAGTGATACCCAATAAAGAAATAACCATTGTCACTAGGTTTAATAATTTATATTATTGACTTTGAGATAGTTATGTAAAAATATTACTCATAACTGTGTAAGATATTATCAACTTACGTTTATACAAGTACTGAAGTACCTAGAACTATCTTTTTTTCCTATACATAAAATGAGTAATTTGGTTACTAGGATACAGACGGTATAATTATTGATTAAATAAAAAATATATAAAGTAACTAGTACTTAAATTACTTTTTAAAGTTTTTTTTAAACATGTTTGTTTGAAAGTATAAACATGCATAAAGTTCATAAGTCATAGGTCAGTACAGATTAAAAAATGATTGTATTAAATCAAACACGAACGTCAAACATAATATGATGGTAAAGAAAGAAGAAACTGTTTTGTCTCATATTTAAATTTAAATGTGTTCTATATTATAGGTCATCAAAATAAAATGTTACACACAATCAAAAAAAGGTTAAAACATTTTTAAACATTTTTTTTTACTGAATGAAACGTTATGTATCACAGCATGTATGACTGGATTTGATTATACTTAGCATTACACCTTAAATTATTATTACAGGTTTTTAGTTTTGGTGTTTTTTGTTTATTTAATAAAATGATAGTTGACATTTGTAGGTATAGCAGGTAATTTAGTATAGATCAATAATTTATGGTTTAAAATGTATATTTCAGAAACTGATTACTGTATTAAAAATAATACTTTTATTTAATTTTCTCTTTTATTATGATCTTGAAGTTACTTAAAAAGGTAGGTACAACAATTGAATAACTATTGATATTCAGGTCCCAAGAAAATAATGTACTTAACCAGATAACCAATCAAATTTGATAGTGATAATTTATAAATAATTTAATAACTAATTCTTATGATCAAAAATGTATAGAATAGATAAAATATGACTCACCATCTGTCCATCTTTAGCCATTTTCTTGATGTCCACAATGATTTTCTTTTCTTGTTGTTCCATTCTCATTTTTTCACGATCCAAATCACGCATTGCTTTATTCAGGGCACGCTGATTTTTTCTCAACATCTCATCGGGCGACATACGACGCCCAAATAACCATTCTAACGGCATACTGCTGTAGATGTTTTAATGCAAATTGATCTACTATAAAAATGGTAAATATTCAAACGTTGTAACTTAGTTAATTGAATAAAGGTAATTAATCTAAATTAAATAAGGTATGAAATGTAATAGATGACAATTATGACTCATCAGTCACCACTCACCAGTTCTTCAAATTCTACTTGCGTAGTTGCGTCCTACGATATATTTTTTAGGTATAACTATGACTTATGTGAGATAAAGAGAAAACACAAAATACAAAAAAAAAATTACGAAAACAATACCTATAATGTCTATTTGTTTGTGTAATTCTGTTTTTGTTTCTTATCAGTAAACATTACTCATCGTGTGTAAAACACTAAAAATCAAGGTGTATTGATAATTGATATCAATATATTTTGGATTTAGTCATGACCTGAGCTAAAGATAATATGGATACCTATGTGACGGCATAATGCCATAATATAATATATTATTATGTTGACATAGGAGCAATGGGCATAAAACTAGCTATAATAAAACCATAAAAAGCTATAAACTAGTATAAGCTATAAAGGCTGACGAAACCACTGACTTACCTATAGATTTAAATCCATTCTGTGATGCCCTCTGTTGGTTATATGTTGCAACATAATATAGCTTAGTGGGAATTTTTGATTCATATTTCATTTACGTCGTATGTATGATCAATACGTATGTATTTTATTTCGTACTTTTGTGAGAACTTTGAAAAATCACCGAAAAACTCTATTAAACTTGTAATTTATTAATATTTTAATTTTCAGCGATTCGCTTATGAAGACCCCACTTTCAATTATGCTTATTAAATATAAATAAGCACATAGTATAACTTTAATCGTGTCCTTAAGCACTTCATCAACTGGGTCTCGCCACAGAATTCAACAGTATTATTTTAATCAATTATTATTTACTATTACTATTACTATATTCATACATTATATTATATTTATTATTGGGTATTGTAATAAATAATAATCAAATGTATTATTTCTCATACAGTCATATTTTTGTTTCTTGGCCCTGGCCTGTACTCAGCAGTGTATTCAAGTTCAAATTAAATATTACCCATTGTCTAGTGACTAGTCATACATAATAGGTAGAAGATCCTTCTACTATCTGTACGTGTTACTGGTTCAGGTTCTCGACCAGAGAGTAGAGGCCAAGGTGAATTCACTCCGCCTTGCTAAAGACCACGGATTAATATCCGTGCTAAAGACTAAAAGACCATTATAATTTACATGTTCATGCAAGAGACTATAAACTTGACAGCTAATATGGTATATCCATAGACATGTATAACAACTAGACAGCGGACTGCATATTCATTCTCGCAGGAACGTTGAAGTCGTGCGGCCATATATCAACGGGGCAATGTTTACGAAATAACTCAATGGATAATTTACCTATGTGTATTATCAGCCATGCAATTTTGCACTGTTGGCATATGGCTGTCCGACTCCAATATTATCCTGTAGCCGGCTATCTAGTTGCCTTACATGTCTATGGGTAATGGGTATATATCAGTTCGAGCTTGACAGTAACGGGCAGAGGGCTGCGGACTGCAGCACTATTGCATTTATTGCATTATAGTGTAGCAACCATGTGGCATGTGCACAATGTATTGTGCAAGTGCATACTGCATTGTGCAACTTGTGTAACTGTGTAAGATGCATTGATATTTGACTCACTTTGGTAAAGTTACCATGGTAGGCTACAACACTTTCGTAGACGTCTTATCTTCACTCCAATGAGTATTAATTGCATAACCAAACATTTTTTTATCTATAATCGTGGTTATCAGTTTATCACGAAAAATTTAAAAAATTTAAATTTATATTTTATAATATAGGTTATTAAGTAGGTAGACAGCCCGGTAGGTGGTGTATTATTTTTCAATATCGATCATAAATACGAATAATACGATATACACATAACACATTACGATTTGGTAAAAAATGTAATTATAAATTAATAAAATTCGTAATCTGGTGTTAAATCTATTGATGATGTGTTCCTCGGGTGATATGCCTCTACCACCTTGGCTCTACTCATGACTAAATAAATATAATATATATCTTTATTTAGTCATATGCTTACTTCTAAGCATCCGTGGTTTACCGCACGAGTAAAAAACAAAACTTATCTATGTACTATTGCATAATTTAATTGGTCATTAAGTATTTTACGTGTATCAATTTTTCATATTGTGTATTCATTTTTATTTTTTAGTTAAATACATTTTACAATCATGCTCGAAGTTTTTGAGTTACAGTGTTTTATACAAAATTATTTGTGGGGGAAAAAAGGTTTTGCGAGTGAAGTTAGCCGCCTGAGTTTGGCTGGCCAACATATAGATTCTATAGATGAAAAACAGTTATATGCTGAATTGTGGATGGGCGCTCTTCATAAAAGTCCTTCGTTAGTAAAAAGTTCTGGGCAGAAATTGAGTGATTGGATAAAAAGCAACAATGAAGCGTTGGGTGAAAAGTCTAGATTGCAGTTTGGTGATGAATTGCCATTTTTAATGAAAGTGTTGTCCATAAACTCAGCCCTTTCCATCCAAGTGCATCCATCTAAGGTAAAAATATATTGATAAGTTGTCTCAACATAATTATTTTTACCTTATTAATTTAGGATTATGCTGAAGAACTACATAAGCAATATCCTGAACTATATCAAGATTCTAATCATAAACCAGAAATGGCTATTGCACTTAGTCACTTTGAAGGACTTTGTGGTTTCCGTCCATATTCTGAAATCAGATTTTTTTTAGAAGGTAGGTACTTGTATTTTATGTTTTAAAAATAAAACTTAATCGTACTAATTATGTTATATCAATTAGAAATACCGGAATTACAAATTATTGTTGGATATGACCTTATTGAACAATTTAAAAAAGATACTACCAATTCACAATATTTGCTTAAAGACATATTTTATAAGTTAATGACATCTGAAAAAGGAATTATAAGCCAAAACATTAGCAGTCATAAAAAAAAGCTGCAATCGCTATGTAAGTGATGTTGTATAATTTAATCTATTAGGTTTTCAAGAGAACCTATTTAAAAAATAGATTTTATACTTTGTTTGAATGGCAAAAAAAAATTATTTTAATTGTTTAATATACAGCATCTTGCTGTATTTGTATTAATATGATAATAAAATTATATTACAGGTGATGAAAAAAAAAATGTGTTCTTAGCAAAACTATTTAATCAACTTGATTGTTGGTTCCCAAATGATGTCGGATGTTTCTGCATATATTTTTTAAATTATATTCAACTCTCACCAGGTCAAGCAATATATTTAGGAGCTAACGAACCTCACGCTTATATCTATGGTGGTCAGATTTCTTTAATATTTATTTCATTATAATTAAACTCTTCAAAATTGATTAACTGCTTTTAGTAACAACTTATAATTTATATTATCATTATATGTATTTAGGGGTAAAGGGACAAACAAAAATTAATCTACTATCAAACTTGTACTCTATTGATCCTATTAAGGATGTGTTTTTTTAGATTGCATCGAATGTATGGCTTGTTCTGATAATGTGGTTAGAGCTGGGTTGACTCCAAAATATATTGATGTAAAGACACTATGTAGGGTACTGAATTTTAATGGGGCACCTGCTGAATCCAAGTTGTTTAGTGGAGTTCAAGAAAATTCTTATACAACTGTTTTTAGACCTCCTGTTCCTGATTTTGCTGTGGCTTGCATTAAAGTACTTGAATATAAAAAATAAAACCAAAAGTAATAAGTTAATTTATTTATAATTTTTCATTTTTAAGGTTCCTGCAGATAACATTTATGAATTGTTGAAAAGAGATGTTGCTTCTATAATTATTGTTGTTCATGGTCAAGGCAAAATAACCGCACCACAAGATTTGATATTATCGACAGGAAAAGTTTTCATGATACCAGCTAACGTCATAATTCAAATACACGTAGGATTTGAATCTTTAGAATTATATCAAGCGTTTGTAAATTTATAAATACAATTTTTTAATAAGTAGTAAAATTATTTACTCTTTACAATTTGTCTTAGACATTTTTACTAAAATATACTAAATTATTGTCCAGTAGCTATTTTTTTTCTTTTACAATATTTATATAAATATTTTAGTTTTAAAACTAACTTAGTATTTAGTAATTATTACCTATAACTGTAGTTAAAATAACTTCCTGTGAATTTGAGTATGTGTTTTTATAAAAAAATTGATGAAATATGGGGGTATTAAAAAACTGTCTGACTATTATAGTATTATGACAAGAAATAAAATTGTTAAAATGTTATTTGTTTTTAAATTGGCAATTTTCCTACAGTAAAATATTGTAAAAAAGTGTACTAAGAAGTCTGTTGCCATTTTTATTTTTGTGAAAATACAACTTTTTGTATACAAGTTGAAATTTAAATCCATAAAATGGGATTTCGCACATATTATATATTATTATATAAACCCAAGACAGAGATAGGATAGGGAATTTGAGCGTTCGAGAAAACGGCAAAACATCATTTAAAGTATGGACCTCAGCCGCTTTAGATAAGTATGGTGGATTGATATACACTACAGTATTGGAGACCCACATTTGTTATGATGAATTATACTTAATACTGTATTCTTACAAGTATACATTAAGTTTATTTCAACTGGGTTTATATATATATTTTTTTTTTAAACAATATTAAAGTAGTTTGCGAGCTGGAAAAAAAATATTTTTCTTTCATTAATTTTGTTACACTGGCAAAAAACTTGAGGAGCATGACTTTACTACATGAAAGACTAGCATAGTTGATTGACTCGGGAAGGAGACGGTGTTGCCTGATGAATACTGATGGCTGCCAAGGTTCCTGCTTCTTGCATAACATGAATGAAATTTGTAAATACACACAAAATGAATTTGAATGTCTGTTGTTTTTTGTAGAAAATCATTGTTTAAATTGTTTTGGATGACTTTAAACTACATCTTTTAAAAACACATAACTACACTTCATTTTAAAAGAGATACCAGATGGTGATCAATTTTCATCTGGCTACACGCACTTCCAACAAAACAGCATAATATGAAATGACATGTGGAAGAGGAAAATGAGCAAAACTGGTGTCTTCTCAAATGTTAATTTGATAGATAGGAAATAATATGAGATAACTAACGGCATAAATAATTATGAACTTTAAAAAAATCATAGAATCTAGTTTTACTATTTCTCTTCTTTTTTGAATCAAGACATAGTTTTACATATTTTTGTATATGATTAGGTTTAGATACTTAAAAAGTATATGGATTCTTTATATTATGCATGTTGAGCGAAGCCTTGACTTTTTGTGTATTATAGATTCCATCAGGATCATTGGAAAATAAAGAGCAAATAAATGTAAAAAATTGAGTTAGTACAATTTTAGTTTTGTGTTTCAACTATGTTTGGGAGATATAATTGGTACACATATTATACATTATTTGTCACGTATTTTTCTAGATAAAATGAATTTTTTCGTCGTTGAGAGCTCTATTTAATATTTTAGCCCCAGTCATAAAAGTACGTTAGCACGCCAGCGTTGCACTTTCAAAACATTAAATGTAAAATTACGACACAGATGGTAAATAAGTGTCTTTAACTACACTGACTGATTGTTTATTGTTATTTTTATGAATACTAATTGTTTTCATATTTTGCAACAGACAAGAATAATGGAATGCTTTTAACAAACGATGTATTTTATTTAAAAAAAAAGAAAATGTAATCCATAACTGGGTTTATTAGAGTTTAGAACTTTATTATTGGTCTAATTTAAATGATTTAAAATAAGTAATAATTCAATATCAAATTGCTCAGTAGACTACAACAACTAAAATTATATTTTATAATATGTACATAATATTAAAATAACATTATATTTTTTTTTACCACAATTCTACTGTTTTACTAATCCTTCTATTTTTTTAAGTACGTTTTCCGCTGATTGATCAGATAGATGTTCGCTTCGTTCTTGTCCAAATTCTAAATAAGTAAAATATATTAGGATTTCATAATGATAAATAGTTATTCTACACATTTTCTTCTTCATACATTCTTACAAAAATTTTGATTTCTAGTTTTAAAACAATTATATGTATTTATGACCAATATAATATTGATCGACCTTTATTTATCCTTCTAACATCACAATTTGTGTAATTTAAATTGTTTCGAGTAACAATGGAACTGCGTCAAATAATACTCACCAAATCTAGCAAACACTTTTGGTTCAATACCGCTGCACTCACGTACTAATATGGGAAACTTTGGATTAGCTTTTTTCAACGGTGTATAGTATTTTTCTACAAACTGCCTGTAAATAGTTAAACGTTTTATCAATCAGATATATGTATTGCTCATATAACAGAAACACTAACCGGACTCCTTTGCTTGAGGGTGATGATTGACATAAGTGCAATCGTAGTTCTTTTAGGTGGCTACCAAACTTAATTGCGGACATGATTAGATTCGGATGTAAAAAATAATAAAAAGACAAACAGCAACTCACAATATTACTTGCGAGTTGAAAAACGTAATATGGTACTATCAGCACTATGGTCAATGAAATTAAAATTTTTACGAACGATAACACTTATCAACCGACCAAATATTGATCATATGCTCACGTCGAACATCATCATCGAGAGAATTAGTTTATACTTGTCCAAGAGATGACGCTTCATCTATCAAATGTCAAAAACTACAGAATTCTCGTCAATCGATATTTCTTTTTTTATTGGAGTTTAAAATAAATTTAGGAGTTTAGAACATATTACTGTAATGATAATTAGTTCCACGATATAAGATAGTCCATCTTTAGCCCTCAGAAAGATCTTCACCTTTTAAATGTTTGGCTTTCTGACATCATTTTTATCGGTTCATGAAGATTGTATTTTTTAGAAAAATAGGTATTTTCCATTATTTATTAATTTAGGGCAGAGGACTGTAATATACAGTGGATTCCGCTTAATATGGGCACGTTGGGACCAGCCCTGTTTGCCCGCATTAAGCGGTTGCCCATAAAAACCGAATTAACATTGTTAATATACATTTGTATTGGGACCAGCTCTGTTTGCCCACAATAAGCGGATGCCCATATTAACCGGTGCCCACAATAAGCGGATTCCACTGTATTTAACAAAAATTCCCCCCCCCCCTTCGCACGTCACACCAAATAAAAATATTACTATTTTTTTTTTTTTATTAGCTACGAGTATAAAATTATTACTTATTAATGCACATAATATTATATTTATTCTTCTGTTGGATTTGGCAAAGTCATGTAAAACAGTGTATAGTAATAATCATGAACTAATAAATAATAATAAAATAAGCTATGACATTGTATCGGCAATATGCTTGATAATCGCTGGAAAACCCGCTAGCTGTTTACCAGCTAACCCGTATGCACGATGTAGATGTTTTACCTACATCGTGACCGTATGATATACTCGTACACATATATATATATATTAATATCATAATTCATAGTATCCTACCATTTGACTATAACTTGTATATTTATAAGTCTTAGGCTAGGAACACATTTTAACGCGCGACATGTTAACCATGCGATAGTCATAAATCATAATGCACATGACTGTTTTCGAAATATCGCGCGATATTTATGTTCTCAATGTTTCATAAATAATCATCTATGTAAAAAAAAAATTATATTGACCATATCCTACACTTTTACAATCATAGTTAGTAATCGAAAACAATTTTAATATTTGAGTAAATATTGGGGGAGGGCTTAGATGGAATCAGGGGGGGCTTAGCCCCCTCCCAAGCCCCACCCTATTTGCGCCTATAGTTGTAGCTCTAAAAAATCACCAAATATGCACTAAAATGTACAAACTATTAATTTTAAAATTATTATGCGTATTATAATGCATTAAAAAATAAGATTATTCGTATGAATATATTTTATTTAAATTTTGATGTCTGTGACCGCGTCTCCGTGGCCAGTATTGATAATATCTTAGCAGTGAACAATATATGTGCATAGGACGTAAAAAACGTCTTTAAATTTTTAAGGAATTCCATTTAGTAATGCTGTCAAAAATAAGATGGTAGATTTAGATTTATAAACAAATTTGAATAAGTCGCAAAATGTGTTGTACCTCATAGGTACTCATCCATACATAGTACACATCTAACTGCAGTAACTTAATCATAAATTTAGACAGTTTGAGTTTGCTTATATAAATTTGTTTAAGGAAAATCGTGTTGAAGTATAAATTTTTGAAGTTTTATCCTTACATTATTTTGCTTGCTAATATATTATATATGACGAGTTGTAATTTTCTTTTATTAATGCCAACGGTGCTCAGAGTTTTGGCCTTGAGATTTGACACTACAAAAACATAATCTTTCCATAAATAACTACCAAATTGTTGGATTAGCTGTTTTTGTGCCTTTTCAATAGTTCACGGTTTCACATTTAATGGTTTTACAGCGATTCAATAACATTAAAAAACAATTTTTTATTCAAATGCCTGATTGAACACAATTTATCAGAATATTGTCCACTTGAGTGGTTGAAAAATATAACATGTACAAAAATAATACTCAATAACGACAATTATGAAGTAGCTCAAAACTAATATATAATTTGAGCGACAATTCTTTGAAAAAAAAAAGTTAAAAATATCTACTAAAACTATCATAATATGTCTATGAAAATTTATAAATAAAAAAGTGTTCAGGTATTGAATTTGGTAGTGCCTTCAATCATCGGTTGATAGATTTAGAATTAAAAACCTAGTAAGAATGAGTCATTGAACGATAATACCTAGAGGCTAGAGGTACTCCATACCACGTATACCTATATCCAACTGCAGAGACTCAATCTTAACTTAGGACCCTCAGATAAATTTGTTTCAGGAGAGTCACGTTGACGTGTTGACATTTGATGTGTATTTATGAATATGTCACGGCAAACTCAGTCAAAGGCTTCCGACACATCAATTAATATTTCTAAACATAATATTAGGACCGTGATTATATTCGACATATATAAGATTGGATGGTACAATAAAAATGCAAATTATTAATACTGGCCGGTGACAAGTGATATTTTCTGTTTTGAGTTAAATCACTTCACGATAAACAGTTGAAATCGAAGTTACCGTATCTACTGGCATTATGATTATTCAAAGAGTTCTTTTACGTTTTGAATTTACAAATCTTTATCAACACCTACACGTGGAAACTGGAAAGTACTCATTATACATATTGTATTTTTGCACTTATGACTGAATTATCCGTGTTATTAATCAATTTATTTAGAAATTGAAATTTATTTTATCCTGACATTATTTTGCTTGTTAACATATTATATATGACGAGTTGTAATTTTCTTTTATTAATGCCAATGGTGCTCAGAGTTTTGGCCTTGGGATTTAACACTTCAAAAACATACATTTTCTAAAAAAAACAGATCACTGGTTAGTTTAGCCGTTTTAAGGCTTTTCAATAATTCACAGTTTTTACATTTAATATGTACCCATATATTTTATTGTTGTTGAACAGCCGTTCTTTTTTTTCAAATACCTGATTGAACACAATTTCTTAAAATATCATTCAATATTTAACCATATTTTGTGTAGTTGAAAAATATAGCATGCGTAAATTGAAACTTAATGTACCCACTGTATCGGGGTACATATTAATATGTACTTAGTCCAAAAAACATTATTTACCTACAGACTACTACTTTTTCCACATATGGTTTAAGCAGTTGCACTGTACACACATATTTTATTTCGTATTTGCAGAATGACATTATAAATGTCGTTGTTGAATAACTTAGAATATTATTCTTAGGTACTGTCTTATTCAACGTCACTAAGTAATTAATATTAATTTATTGTCTGTATCTACGAATATGGTTAATTATGTTGTTATGTTAGCTACATGTTTTATGTTTTATATGATTGAAAATATAATTGCATTGGACCCATTTAAAATTGAGTATATATATATTTATTTTTTCCATTACATTTTATGACAAATCACACATTATTATTTTTAATTTTGTATAGCGTCCTTGAGCAACACCAGAAACACACAGAATGATATATTATGTATAAAATTGTGGTATGGTCATCAATGATAAAACTAAAACAAAAAAAAAACAAATACAGATCAGTTATAAAAAAAGAAGCAGAAATTCCCCATTAACAATTTTATTAATAACGGTCAATTTAGGGGTTATGTTATTGTTCCAAGTACTGCAGGTTCTTCGTCCATTTCACATTGCGTTCTCTTCGTAATTTCGGTGGGACAATGTTACTATATACTGGTACTGGTAGCCATTTTAGTGGTGTGGATTATGTCAACCCACCAATAATTGTGCATATTGTCGCATTAAGATATTTATCTACGTACTTTGTGTGGACGTTGTTGAGCCAGACACGGGTACAACTCAGCTTAAGAGTATGCCAATGTTAGCGTACTTAAACCAGTCCGCTTTCCTGAAATTCCATATTGGGTTTTGAATGGTCTGAACAATTAGTATTTGAGTGCTGACATTTATTAGTATTGATTTATGTCGTCTTTAGGGAAAATATATACTGATGGATGTGGCATGATGTGGTGGTTTATGTATGTTGAGGATTGTTATCTCAACGACACCTATAGCTATAATGTATGCAGTATCTGTTGAAAATAGATGAGTTCAGTTGTCTATATTGTTCAAAACGTAAGTTGCAGATCCATAGCTTCTATGTTAAAGAGCTGAAATTAGAGTGTATCCAGAAACTGTCGTTCTCTGTGTAATTTGTTGCTCGTTTGGGACACCGGTTTTCTGTAGTAACACCACATCTGTTTTATGTTCCTTTAGCAGTATTTCGAGATATCTACTTTTATCATTGTCAATTTCTCTATATTGAGTTGATAGATTCGGATCTGAGAGTCCAGATCTCAAGTCAAAGAGTCCTCACAAAGACTGTTCTCTGGTTGAGAGGTGTTGATCTTTTTGGTATTGATCATGTTTTTTGTGAGGTTCTAAGAACAGTACAGCAGCCAGTTGTAGTAATTTTTTAGCTGTCTAGGCTCTAGGACGTTGCTCGGGATACACTTCGTGAAAGCGAATTATTACCTTTGTACCCCATGTAAATAAAACACCTATTAAGATTTAGGCATAAAACACATAATAAAATTACAATTTAAATTCATAGAATTAGTGTTATTTTAATGAGATAGTTATAAATAGAATAAATATTATGAAATACATTGTATTTTCTTATAATATTATATTTCTAGCAGAAAAAAACTTCAGAATCTTTTATTATTCCCAATATTGCACTTATTTTTTTTCTTTACCTAGCTTAATATTTACATTGATAGCTATTAGTTATAAGTTATGAGTTATGACAGTTAGGCATTAGTATGTCTATTCAATTTGTTTAAATATGTATTTTATTATACACTAGCTGTCCCGACACGGCGTTGCCTGCGTATATTAGTTTGTTTTTTGGCATTTTCGTAGACCTTGTATTATTGGCTTATTGCTATTATGTATTCAGTTAATTGGTTCAAGGTCTTCACTACACTTACACTTCAC